GCATGGGTTAAGTACTTTTAATGCCAAGGCACGGGCAGCTCGGGTGTGAACCATATGGTACATAGCCCACCTCGGCATATAGCAGATTGAACCCATTAGGGACAACCGATGTCAACTTAAGTAGCCCGGGTGCAGACAGTTCGGGCATATACCCTACTATGTTGCTCGCCCCGATGTACATCTTGAAGTTACCCCTAATAAGTATTAGGAGACAGTTCGGGGTAACAATAGTCGAGAAACCTCCACTTCGGGTACTTAACTCGATAGCTTGACAGTTCGGGGAAACCCTTAAACCCCTTATTCCGATCAAAAAGGTTAATTGCACAAGAAGGTTAAATGCACAACACTTAGCAAAACAACATATTTCATTACCAGAGTTTCATTACAATGAATTCGGTACAAAAAAAAAACTGAGCTCGCAGGCTCAAAGTACAAGGACGGTTCGAACTACTTGGGGAACACACTCGGAGCCTCCGTAGAAGTGTCAGCCTGGTTGGTAGCGTCAGCCTTCCCGATGTCCTCGTCGCCCTCCTCCTCAGAGTCCGGGTCCTCAGCGGCTTGACGAGCTACACTCCCCGTGATTCGCGAGGTGGTGATAGCGCTTACATCGAGCTGTGGGAACTCGCACTTTATCAGCCACCTGCTGAGCTTGAAGCCCTTGCGGTAGGCGTCCACCATTACCCTGTCGAACTCCTCCGACATGACGTAGTCTTGGACGGCCTTGACTTTGGCCTCCTCCATGGCATCAAGGAGGGCCTCAGTTCACTCCTTAACGTCAGCTTCGAGGTTATCGACCTGACGCTTCAGAGCTCCCTTCTCGCGCAACAACTCCTCCTCGCGCTGCCACTCCTCCTTCTCTGACATCAGCGACGTAACTAGCACTTTTTGAGCTAGCACATCGCCCTCCAGTTGGTAGATTTGTCCGTGAGCTAGTTCCAGTTCGGTTTGAGCTGCGCGGGCTGAATCCTCGGCAACCCGGGATCGCTTCAAGTGCTGCTCGGACTGGTAGGTCAAGGCGTGCACGGCATTGTTCACCTGCCAAGAGAATGCCAGTAAGCATCAGTAAAGCAACAACTGCATAAATTGAAAGTCAAAACGCAACGAGACTTATCACCATGCAATGGGTAGCTACTTGAGCTCCGTGCTGAGCAGGCGATAGCTCGGCCCAACTAGAGACCTTCTCGGCACACACAACCCCTTTGCTCTTCTGGAGGCTGTACTATGGGTCCAGAGTACTCCGGGATGATTCTCTACTTCTCGAAGTAGTGGCGGCGGTCTCGGGAGCGGGCTCGACAGTGGCCTTGGGAGCAGGCCCTGAAGTCTCAGGGACGGGCTCCGAAATCGCCTCAGGCCCCTGAGGTGGAAGGCTCTCCAACTCCTCTAAGTCGATCACCGAAGGAGCATCAGCAGGTAGCTCGGGCTCGGGAGTAGAAGCCCATGGAGGATCAATGCAAGCTCTCTTTGCAGCTCGCTTCTTTTTCCCCTTCATCTTCCCGAAGAGGTTTTCTGCACTGAATCGCTCCATAGGACATGCAACAGAGTTTGACGTCAATAATACTACCAAGAAGTAGAAACTGGCTACTGAGAAAAATACTAACTCTACACAAGGCGACCTACCGGGACTCAGGCCGGCCTCGATAAGCTTGTTCTCGGTGAGGTAGTTCTTGCAGTCAAAGTCGAGTTCCGCCCAAGATTGAAGTACCTCACTTGTTTTCTTGTCTAGCCTAATGCGGGAGTCTTGAATGGCCACCCTCCAATGAGTACGGAAGGGTCACCCCGCAGTGTTACGAACTACAAAGTAGTCCCGTTTCCAGGCCAGGACTTTACTAGGAAGTTTGTGTAACAACTTGAAGTCCAGGCGGGGGGACAGGTAGTAGGTCCGCCTGTGCTCGGGGAGAACGCTAGATGCATTCTTCTTTATTGATAAGATAGAAGAAAAAATGTCAAGATCAAGAGGAAGGGCGTAGTCGAAACAGAGGGAAATTGTACCGACCATGTTTCGGACAGAGTTCAGGTGGAACTTCTCTATGATTACATCGAAGTGATTCAACACTTCAACAATGAGAGGGTGCATTGGAAGGCGGAGCCTAGCCGCGAGTTGTTCCCTGAAAATCACGATCTCGTCGCGACCGTGCTCCCAGGGAAAGTCGCCCGCAGGAAGATGGTAGGTGTACTCCCTAGGAAGGTTGTACCGGGTATCAGGCTCCTAAGCCTGTCTACCGTCATGGTAGAAGGACCAAACTTGTCTGGTATCCGACCTCGATTAGAGGTGGATGCCGGGTTACCCGAGGTCTTATGCACCTCGTAGGTGGAATGTTCTTCGGAGACACCTACTTGAGCCGAGGTACCCACCTCGGGCTCATCCAGGAGACTATCCGCCGGAGTCGGGGGACCCACCTCAGGCTCGTCTAGTTGACTATCGAAGCTATGGTCCGACATAGCTACAAACTGAGGAATGGGCTAAAAGAGACTAGCTACGAAATCGAAATTGAAAAACTGGAAACGAACTGAAAGAAGGAGCTTGGGAGGCTCACTCAAGAAAACGCAACTAGACAGGAAAAGAGACGAATTGGAGAACCCGAGCTGAAGACCTTAGACGCGAACTCAAGGCAAGTTCTAGTTAGCTTATGGCGGAGAAAATGACGGGGGCCCCCCTATTTATAGCCGGTATGCCCGAGATTCAATGGTTGAGATCAAGACGATCTAACGGCCCTCCAGAAAACCGGCCGCGCAACCTTCGAGGTGAAATCGATTTAGCGCATTTTTTAACGTCCACGGAGTCTATAAATCGCTTCACGTCTGCGCGTGAACTATACACGATCCAGATTATTCTTGGTTGATCCAAACGGTGAACTAGTCCGACGAGCGAACCCTGACGAGGCAGCCTAGACTTCGAGCCGAATCCAACCGTCATGTCGTGAACTCCCCGTACCAAGTCAGGACCCCTGGCTCGAGGAGTGGGGTGCAATTGATGGAGGGTGATTTGCCCCAACCTCATCATAGGGGGACATGTGGGCGTGACTCAACATAAGTGACAACTCAACACGACCAGACCGCCAAGGTCCAGCGTGGCAGCTCGGCACCAGATGATACTCCGATTATTCCGAGCTCCTCCCAAGTAAAGGAGCCCCGAGCTCCTCCACAACAAGGAGCCCCGAGCTCCTCCTCAAAAAGGGAACACCTTGAGCTAAGATTCTTCCACAAGCATCCCAAGCCAAGGTAGTGCAAGACAAGGATCTCCCAAGCTCAAGGCACTTTGGGGTGAGCTCGGAAGCCTCCTAATAAATTTGTTCTGAGTGACCTAAGTAGGCCACCTCCGATATAATCACCTCAGTACGGCACCTCCAGCCCGACACAGGGTAGCTCGGTGCTAATGTCTGGTAATTGATCGTTCTTTGATGTATTTAAAGTTGTACTATGTGCAATTCTCTTTTTCTTTGACCAATATAGAGATTTTGATTGTGTTGAAGAGCAGAGCCGATTGCGTATACTCGTTCAGGTATGTAAAGTAAGGACTGTCACCAACTGTTCCTGAGGAATGATAAAACATGATGTCAAATGTTGGTTATAACGTACATGGTTTAACAAAAAAAAAAAATTTATTTTGAGATCTTCATAGTACCGTTGGAAGAGGTAACAAGCTGTTTCATTCATTAAGATATATGTTCATAATTAATTGGAGCATGCGAATCCTCCCTTTTGTAATATTGATCAAAGACTCAAAATTGCTTGAAGGGATTAATGATTCACATAAAAAGGTCCTATATGTATAGTCTTTCATTGTGTTGGAGCCACTTCTAATTGTATGGTCTTGCACATAAAAAGCTTATTCTTTTTTCCTCCTCTAATGACCGGAAATGACTCCATTTTAGATGAGGCATTGTGTTTGTTCAAATGCTATTCAAAACTAAAGTGAAATGGTCATTTTATGTAGCAATAATTAAAGAATTTTGTTGAGACCAAGAAAGTGCAAAGAGTTCAATACATAGAGAAATAGTAAGAAACAAAAGATAAACTTACAACAAATCCCTAACTTAGTCAAAGATAATGGAACTCCAACCATTAAATAATGAATTGGATCTCTCAAATCCTTTCAGAATGAAAGTGCCTTTGGTTGAGATGTTGATCTTGAGATGGATGAATGGCAAGCAAGACTAGAAATATCTAACATTTTTATTCATTACTACTCTTTATGATAGCAGTTGATTACTTCCTTTTATGATACTAGTTGATTGGTTAGCACTTTTGTTTTATGATACTCGTTGATTGGTTATAAGTTTTTGGGTTTCTAACATATAAGGGCAACTTTTGGGGTTTAATATCGATTAGAGTAATATATTTAAAAAAATTTCAAATATAGGTTAACTTTTTAAAAATAATATCAATAAAGGGCAAAAATACTGTTCATCATCTTCTTCTTGCCGTTTGTTCACCAGAGCTGTTGTCCGCCTCTGGCAACATTGCCGGAGGTGGCGGCGGCAGGCGGCAGCGGACGGCGGTGGCGGGTAGTGGTGAGCGACGGTGAACGGCGACTCTAGTGAACAAATAGCAAGAAAGAAGAAAATGATGAACAATGTTTTTGCTATATTATTTTTAAAAAGTTAAGTTAGTTTTAAAATTTTTTTAAATATATTACTTTTATTGATATTAAACCCGTTTTGTTGCCCTTGTATGCTATTAGCGCTAAGTTTTTCCGGCATCATAGTCAACCCATTCTACTTAGACTTGGATCCCACACGTCTTAATGCTAACCAGTAGTCTACATGTTTAGGGTTCTACGTTTTGCACACGTCTAATTTGCGGTAGCATATACTAAGTGAAAAAATCCATTAGATTGGAATGATATATTTAGTTAAGAGAAGACTTGATGCTCAGACTTCACGCAAATAGCATGCGATTGGAATCTTTCATGCATCACATCACACTCGACAGACGATTCTACCAATGAGAAGCATTTTAGCGATTGCGTAACCTGCGTTCACGGACAGATAGGGTTGGACTTAAGTTTTACTGGTCGTTCACCCAAAAAACCAAAAGTTCTACTGGTCTAGGGCTCTCTCCACTGCCTCGTCGTCCCGTCGTCCATCTGATCTCTATCCCTAATAAAAAGAAAAAGAGGTCCCCACAAGAAAGAAGAAAGGTGCTCCATCCCCCCTCCGCTCATTTTAGAGAGGGAGAATGCCAGAGTGACACGGGAAGGCGGCCACATACCCCCAAAAAGCATCATTGACCTAATACTGGAACTGTGAGTTGATTCTTACAACGCAGAGGCAGAGCGAGGGAGAGACTCAGAGAAGAGTGAGTGACGGAATCCTCTTGAGTCTTACCAGGTCTTTGTGAAATCCTGTCAAAGTACATACACTACTATCTGACGGAATCTATCACATTAGACCAGAGAAGAAAAGGGATAAAAGGATTAGAGAGTCGGAGATAGAGAAAGAAGGGAGATGAGGGAGGTTCTTTCTTCCTCTGTTGGCTGAAATATTTGTCATTTTCTTTTCATTTTGAAGCTTTTTCTGAAGTCTACTTCTCCACCCGTATCGATGCTCTCCGTCTTTTAACTTCCCAAGGATACGATATAAGTATTTCCCTCCTTTTTATCTTTGTCTGGTTTCTGAAAACCATTTTGATTTGGCTTCAAGGAGATAACAACAGCAACTGAAGAAGAAACTAGGTTTTTTTTCTTAATCTTTGAATTTATGCGATGCCAATAGACGAGAATTTGTTGGACGATATCATTAGGCGTCTTCTCGACGCAAAGACTGCCCGGGCGTCGAAGCAGGTCCAACTCACCGAGGCCGAAATCCGGCAGCTTTGCACCTCGTCCAAGGAGATTTTTGTCAACCAACCCAATCTCCTCGAGCTCGAAGCCCCCATAAAGATATGTGGTAATGTAACATGAGAAATGATTATTGTTTTGTCTCACTATCTGCTGTGTTTGGTTTCTGTCTGAAGTTCAACGATTGATGGCTGCTCTTGCCTCTCTTGATTAAGCTCTGATTTTCTTTGCTAATGTTTGGTAATTGATCGTTCTTTGATGTATTTAAAGTTGTACTATGTGTAATTCTCTTTTTCTTCGACCAATATAGAGATTTTTATTGTGTGGAAGAGCAGAGCCGATTGCGTATACTCGTTCAGGTATGTAAAGTAAGGACTGTCACCAACTGTTCCTGAGGAATGGTAAAACATGATGTCAAATGTTGGTTATAACGTACATGGTTTAACAAAAAAAAAAAAAAAGGGATCTTCATAGTACCGTTGGAAGAGGTAACAAGCTGTTTCATTCATTAAGATATATGTTCATAATTAATTGGAGCATGCAACGAATCCTCCCTTTTGTAATATTGATCAAAGACTCAAAATTGCTTGAAGGGATTAACGATTCACATAAAAAGGTCCTATATGTATAGTCTTTCATTGTGTTGGAGCCACTTCTAATTGTATGGTCTTTCACATAAAAAGTTTATTCTTTTTTCCTCCTCTAATGACCGGAAATGACTCCATTTTAGATGAGGCATTGTGTTTGTTCAAATGCTATTCAAAACTAAAGTGAAATGGTCATTTTATGTAGCAATAATTAAAGAATTTTGTTGAGACCAAGAAAGTGCAAAGAGTTCAATACATAGAGAAATAGTAAGAAACAAAAGATAAACTTACAACAAATCCCTAACTTAGTCAAAGATAATGGAACTCCAACCATTAAATAATGAATTGGATCGGTCAAATCCTTTCAGAATGAAAGTGCCTTTGGTTGAGATGTTGATCTTGAGATGGATGAATGGCAAGCAAGACTAGAAATATCTAACTTTTTTCATAAAAAAAGACTAGAGAAATACAATATTTGAAATGAGCGCAGTGGTGGAAATCTATGAGTAAGATTTTATTATTTTTTTTGAGAGGAGGACAAAATAAGGAAAGGTATACCATGTGGTTTGTGGGGCCTTTGGCCATACAACACCACTGAGGATTGATTTGATTATAGTTCACGGCTCTTGAAGAAGTAGGCGAAGGATGAAAATGACACTATTAAAGTTGTGAGAAGTGATTAAAGGAGACAACAGTTGGACAGGGGACATGGCTTTTTATGGAGTAGAACGGTGAAAGAGGACTTTGCAGCCAACTCAATATGGCAATGAGGCTTTGTTGAGTTCACTTTTTAGAGGATATGGCCTTTTTTATGTATAACTGTTTTTTATTGGTAGCTCTAATTTTTATGTCTAACCATTTGTATTCATTTCTTTTAGATTTTATCAATTAGGATCAGAAAATTATATTGGTTGGCCCAATGGTAAAATCTCTAACTTACACTTTCTGCAAAAAAAAAGTCAAAGATCAGGTTCATATTCAGCCCAGCCCTCTCAAGATTTGGATATCTGGGAACAACATTAGGTAATGACCCTTTTTAGAGAGAAACCTCTATTATAAGAATATTAAAAGTAGTAGGAGAACAAACATGTACATTGTGTGCAGAACAACAATACAATGGTCATAAACATGAAAAATCTGTATGAAAAACTCAATCCTATTACTCTATCTGTGACCTTTTGCCCCATGCAAGTTCTGCTCTTTTTACCTCTCTCCTAGCCAGTGAATGAATATTCTAAGGCACTAGCTGATCTAGAATCCACTTATCCACTTGAAAAAAAAACCTTAGCCTCTTTGAGAATCAACCTGAGGAGCTGAGAACCCTCTTGTACATTAAACATCTAATCAGTTAAGCATGCCTGAAAGTTTTCTTCCACCAACAGTTCCTTCCAGCCAGATGAGAAGGCTAATTTAAGGCCTTTTAGGAGACCCACAAACTCTTCTCTTAGAAAGTTTCTGTAGTGAGAATGGGCCGAATGGGCTTTAGTGTTCTTTATTTCTTTTAAGTAGTGTTTAAAAGTTATGTTTGTTAGTTAGGTCCTTTTCTTTTCTTTAATTATTTCTTTAGTGTTGGCCACCCCATTAAGGGCATCCAAGTAATTGTACTTAGTCTTAGAATTAAGTTAATAAAAGTGATAAAAGGGGGTTAGAGAGAGGTTTGAATTCTTCTTTTCTCACTTCCCTTCTTTTTTTCTTCCACAATCTATTGCTGAAACTTCTTTTTTCTTCTTCCTCTTCCTCTCTTTCTTATTTTCTTGCATTATCTGAATTACTGCATGTGTAATTTTCAACTTGGTATCAAAGCGGATTCTCACTTCCGACCTTTTTCTCCTTTCTTTGCCCATACATAGTGTGTATGGAGGACCGGTTGATCAATCAGCTACTTATGCAGCCCAATAAAGAAGGCTTTTGGAGAGTTTTGTGGAGGTTTTTCATCCTTAGTTGAAGCCCAAGGCGGGCTCTTGGAAAATTTTCCCGGAAACCCTCGATAACCAGAGAAATCTATGGTCCTACCTATGAAAGGTGGATGCAGGAAAACTACACAGTGTGACCCTTTTTCCTTCATTTTGTGTGTTTTAGGACATGAAATCTCAGAAGGTGATTGGGAGTGGCCATGAGGCGAATGGGATCTATCTGTTAGACATGCTTGAGCAAAGCCAAGTACAACCTAAGAGAATTGCATTTGTTTCAGAGTCCACTAGTCGTATTATGTTATGTCATAGTTGTTTGCGCCATTTGTCTTTTTTTTCTCATTGAGTCGGTTGTTTCTAGAATTATTTAAAGGAATTAGTCTATTGAGTCTTCATTTGAGTCTTGTGTGTTCTCAAAGCATTGTAAGAATACTTATCCTTAAAGTAATAAAATATCAACTATTCCTTTTAATATTGTTCACTCTAATGTGTGGGGGCCTTACCATTTACCATGTATGGGTGGCTATAGATATTTCGTCTTATTTATTGATGATTTTTCACGATATACTTGGATTTACCTTATGCGTTCTTGGGTTGAAGTGCCTAAACTTGTGCAACGGTTCCGTGAACACATACTCAGTTTAATACCCACATCAAAATATTCCGGTCAGACAATGCTAAGGAATATTTTGAGGACATTTCCTCTTATCTTGACAGGTTTGGGGTTGTTCATCAGAGTTCTTGTGCTCGCACTCCACAACAAAATGGAGTAGTGAAATTTATCAAAAAAAAAAAACAAAATGGAGTGGTGAAGAGGAAAAACAAACACATTGTGGAAGTTGCAAGGAGCATTCTTTTTGCTACCCATGTTCCTGTGAAGTTTTGGGGTGATGCAATTTTAACAACTACCTTCCTTATTAACCGCATGCCTTATCGAGTCTTGCAGTCAAAATCTCCTTTTGGAGTCCTCTTTCTTGGTGTTGAGATTTTCTCTATTCCTTTGCGGGTTTTTGGTTGCACTTGTTATGTCCACATTCCTGGTTCCAAAAGACAAAAGATTGATCCCAACGCTCATTAAGTGTATCTTCCTTGGTTATGTCTTCACACAAAAAGGGTATTGTTGTTTTGATTCCATTAGTGGCACCCAGTTTGTTTCCATGGATTCACCTTTGCATAGTCAGTTCCTTTTGATAGTCGTCCTTCTGAGGGTGAGAGATATCTTGAATTGTTTTCTTCATCCCTTTGCCAATTCTAGTTGAGTCTTGTGTCAAGCTCTCCACAGTTACCCCCATTCCCGTGGAGGGATCTTCTCCTTTGAGGTCTTCCATTCTTGTTCCTCCCCCTCTTCCTACTAGTCTTCCAATTGTTTCCACTCATCCTATTCTTCAGAGGTGGTACCAACGGCAAAGGCTAAGGCAAACGCAGGTTGATCCCACACCTCCAGTTGAGTCTCAAGCGCTTCCAATTACTAAAGAGAGGACATGTCCATCACCTTTTCCACCAGCACCCTCGTTTCCAAACCTTGACCTACCCATTGCTTTGAGAAAAAAATGTAAGAGGAAATGCACAACTCATTGTATTTCCAAACACCTTTCCTATAGCTTTTTGTCCCCATCCCACTATGTCTTTCTAGCCTCAATTTCCTTTCAATCCATCCCACAGTCTATCTCAGAAGCCTTAGCCACACCAGAATGGAGGGATGCTATGAGTACTGAAATAGAAGCCCTTCATAAAAACAATACCTAGGATATTGTTGACTTGCTAGTTGGGAAGGGACCTGTTGGGCGCAAGTGAGTTTCACTATCAAGTATTGTGCAGATGGGTCAATTGAGAGGTATAAGGTTCGTCTTGTTGCCAAGGGATATACTCATGTATATGGGATAGGTTACACTAAGACCTTTTCCTCAGTTGCTAAGATGACTTCGGTTTGAATTCTTTTATCCTTAGCAGTGAGCTATGATTGGCCTCTATATCAGTTTGATGTTAAGAATGCATTCCTGAATGGTGATCTCACTGAAGAGGTTTATATGTCCCTTCTTCTTGGTATATATGGCAAGGAAATGCAGGGTAAGGTGTATAGATTGAAGAAATCACTTTACTGAAACAATCTCCATGTGCTTGGTTTGACATGTTTAGGGCTGCTCTTGTTTAGTTCGGCTACTCTCAGACTCAATCAGATCATACCCTCTTTGTTAAGAGAAAAGACACTCTGGTGACATTTTTTATAGTTTATGTGAATGATATTGTGGTTACTGGTAGTGATATAGAAGAAGTTAGTGCTCTCAAGAAGTTTCTCAGTTCTGAATTTGAAATTAAAGATTTAGGGGAGTTGCGGCATTTTCTTGGTATTGAGGTTGCTAGGTCCAAGGAAGGTATCTTTATTTCTCAGTAGAAGTATGTGCTAGATCTTCTTACTTACATTGGAAAATTTGGTGCTAAACTTTCCTCTACCCCTATTGATGTGAATCATAAACTCTCAACTAATGATGGTGAACTTTTAGCTAACAAGGGAGTGTTTTAGATATTACTAGGGAAACTTCTTTATATATACGACTCGTCTAGACATTTCATATGCTATCAGTGCCATTAGCCAGTTCATGCATTCTCCCAGAGACACACATATGGATGCTATAGAAAGGGTGTTATGCTATCTTAAGGGAACCCCTAGGAAGGGTATATTATTTGCTAAACATGAACACATGAAGGTAGAAGCATATACATATGCTAATTGGGCAAGAAATGTTGATGATAGGAGGTCCACATCAGGATATTGTGCTATGGTAGCCAAAAATATTGTTTCCTAGAGAAACAAAAAGTAGTCAGTGGTTGCTAGATCTTCAGTTGAGGTAGAGTATAGAGCTATGGCCCATGGTGTTTCTGAGTTGTTATGGCTTAGATCTCTCCTTGATGAGATGGGTGTTTCATGTGACGAGCCACTGATGTTTATTGTGATAACCAAGCTGCTATTCACATTGCTCACAACTCGGTTCAGCATGGTAGAACTAAGCACGTTGAGGTAGATAGACACTTCATACAGGAGATAGTGGCTTCAGGAGAGGTGCGTCTACCTTTCATTGCATCAAAAGAGTAGCTAGTAGGTTTTCTAACTAAGGGAGTCCCAAAGGCAAAGCTTCAGCATTATGTAAGCAAGCTGGACATGTTTGACATCTATGCTCAGCTTGAGGGGGAGTGTAGTGAGAATGGGCCCGAATGGGCTTTAGTTGTTCTTTATTTCTTTCAAGTAGTGTTTAAAAGTTATGTTTGTTAGTTATGGGCCTTAGTCATGGGCCTTCTTTTATTTTCTTTAATTATTTCTTTAGTGTTGGCCGTCCCCTTAAGGGCATCCAAGTAATTGTACTTAGTCTTAGAATTAAGTTAATAAGAGTGATGAAAGGGGGCTAGAGAGAAAAGTTCGAATTCTTCTTTTCTTCTTCCACAACCTATTGCTGAAACTTCTTTCTTCTTTCTCTTCCTCTTTTTCTTCTTTTCTTGCATTATCTGAATTACTGCAGGTGTCACTTTCAAGTGTTACTTTTCTCTACAAGACTTGGGAAGCTTAGCAATATAGTGTCATCATGATGTCAAAAAACCCATTAATGCTTGAAGTCCTTGCATTACCTAGATCACATTCATCAAAATTGAATTTGTTTAATTCACTATCTAGTGGAATCTAATCCTGCAACAGTGCCCTTGTTATACATGACTTGTAGCTGCCTACCAATTCCAGAGGATAGATTCCATAGTGAAACCTTTTTACTAATCTCTTGTAGTAATCCAGTGGGCAACCTTGTTAGCAATAACATCAGTGATGATGTCGATCTCTTGGTTATTGTTGCCGAAGATTCTATCATTTCTTTTATTCCATAAACTCCGAAGCAGTGCCACCCTTGTATGTAGAACAAATTTGGATGATCATTCATTCAATATTTTATACTTGCATGTAAGGTTTAAGATGTCAGTCTTGATTGAAGTGTCAACCACTTAAAAAGAAATATGTCAGAAATGCTGAAATTTTCAGTAGGTTTACCACAAAAATTTTATAACATTCTAAATGTTAATCTATGAAAGTACTTGTTAGTATTTTTTAAAATTATAAAAGGACATATTCTTTTAAACAATTACTTTTCTGTAAAGTGATAATGATGCTTTTAAAATGATTACATTGTTTAAGGATGACCTTTTCCACTTAGAATAAATTTTTGGTTTTAGAATTTATTATATATTACCTGTCTGATAATTATTTTTGTTTAATATAGAAGTTATGATTTTACAATGTGTTTGAAGAGAAGAATCATATTAAAACAATTTTGGATGATTTCTAGTTACATGTAAATTGAAAATCTTGCTTTGATATAATTATCAAAATAAAACTTTTTTGATCATTGTTAACAAAGTAAAATTTAATAAGATCAATACAGAAGATTTTAACTCACTGGTGAATATGTCAAGATATATTCTGGTGATATTTCTTGTTGGTACTCATGGCAATGGAGATATTTCATTTTGAAAACCCCCAGAGGTAGGTTTCCTGAAATTAAATTTCGATGGAAGTAATTTTGGGAACCCAGGGCCCTCTGGAATTGGAGGGGTTCTAAGGAATGAAAGCGGAGTGATTTTGGAAATGTACTCAGGTCCCATTGGGGTGTGTGACTCTGTAACAGCAGAATTGAAGGCAGTACTTTATGGGATGCAGAAATCTTTGGAAATGGGGTTCCGGAAGCTAATAGTTGAAGGCGACTCCAAAATAGTAATAAGTTGGTTTAAGCAGAACGAGATGATTCCTTGGTTTTTCAGAAACAATTTCAAACAGTTCAAGAGGTTCTCAAGGGATATGCAGCTGATATTTCAATGGGCTCCTAGGTCAGCAAATGGCTTAGCTGACCATCTAGCAAAGTAAGGGGCAAACAGAGCAGAGTGCTTCTGGGCTCAATTGTGAGACATCATCAATTTGTCTATGTTTTCTATTGTTGGTAGCCGAGGCTGCCCATGTTTCTGTATTATCTTTTTTCTCTAAGTAATGAAATCTTTGATTACTGATAAAAAAAAAGAATTATTTTGGACCTTTTAAACCATGCTTTACATGAACAAATTATTTTACGTTGAAACAATGCACTGTATTTGTTATTTGGTTCAGCTCTTGTTCCTTGGGTGGTTTACATTGGTTTTTCTCCCTTGTTTTAGGGAGTACAAACAACCCCACCCCTCCTCTTATGTACTGACAAAAATGATTAAGAAAACTATGGGCATCATGAGTTATCCAGTTTATTGGAGTTGGTTGGTATGTATACTATTGAAACATATTTTGTGTGTTAAGTAGCACAGATGCGCATATTACTAGCATCTGTTATTGAAAAATTACAGGAATAATATGTTTAAGTTGGGTTGATATTTTCAGTTTTTCCTCTCTTTAGCAGTGAACATATGGAGTTTGAAAAATTACAGGAATAATATAATGTCAGGAATAGCAAATTCTTAACTTATTGAACATATGGAATTGAAAATAGAAATTCAAAATGTTGCATTTAGAATAGTATCTTCTTGAGGGGGGAAGCTTGATAGAAGACAGTAGGTTGTTTAAGGGGGAAACATGGGGTTTTATTTTGAGGTCCATGGTTTCCATTGGTAAGGCTATTCTAATCATAGAATCTTGTGGCACGTTAGTGGAGAATAACTAAAATACTTCAACAAAAACACTTACAGTAGTGTTTTGAATGCTCTTTAATCACATAATACAGATGTTACAAAAAGAAGAGCCCCCTCTGTTATGCCAGTGTCCACGCGTCTAACATGGAAACCCCCTCAATAAGATAGCTGCTTCCATCAAGTCACAAAATTTTCTCTTTTCTTTGATAACAATATCACTGTTACTGAACTGCATTGTTCTTTTGGCAGGAGATATTCATGGCCAGTATTCTGATCTCCTCAGGCTTTTCGAGTATGGTGGGAGCCCACCAGCTGCAAACTATTTGTTCCTGGGAGACTATGTTGACCGTGGTAAGCAGAGCATAGAGACCATTTGCCTTCTCCTTGCATACAAAATCAAATATCCAGAGAACTTTTTTCTTCTTCGGGGCAACCATGAATGTGCTTCCATCAACCGTATTTATGGGTTCTATGATGAATGCAAGAGAAGGTATAATGTCCGCCTCTGGAAGACTTTTACAGATTGCTTCAACTGCCTGCCAGTGGCTGCTCTTATTGATGAGAAGATCCTGTGCATGCATGGAGGATTATCTCCTGATTTGAAAAACTTGGATCATATCAGGAATATTGCTCGCCCTGCTGATGTGCCTGATCAGGGACTTCTCTGTGATTTGCTATGGTCTGATCCTGATAAGGATATCCAAGGATGGGGTGAAAATGATAGAGGTGTATCTTATACGTTTGGACCTGATAAGGTCAGCGAATTCCTTCAAAAACATGACCTTGATCTCATTTGCCGTGCCCATCAGGTAAATGCAATTTGAATCCATATTATGATTCTTGTGCCTTGCTTCATTAGCTTTGTATTATTTTTGAATACCTGCATATGTTGAATAGATGTTTATATAGGGTTAGGGATGGCAATGGGTCGTATCAGGTTGTTTTTTTTAATCATGGTTCAGGCTGGTTTTGGCTAGGGCTGCAAGCAGATGTGAATCGAATTGAATATGGGTAGATCAAAATTTGATTCATTTATATTTGAATTCAAATCAGATCTTATCCATTGGATATATCATATTCAAATTTGGATTGATTGAATAGTAAATAATATTAAAAAATTAAACTAAAGATGATCAAGATATTACATATTATTTAATAAAATGAACTAAAATTAACTTTGATATTGTATTTTATGAACAAAATAAATTGAAAATTATTCGCATGAAACTTGAACCCATGACCATTTAATAAAATACACACATTCAAACCAACTTTATTGATAGATGCAATATAAATTTTAAGCTTATTTAAATCGAACTAAATTAGATTTTATCAGATTGGATAGGAGTGGATCCATATTTGATCCAATTATGAACAGGATCGAAATCAAATCACCCTTAATGGCATTGAATTCAAATTTGAACAAATGGATACTGTTTGCAGTGCTAGTTTTGGCATGAAGACACTGTATATTTCCTGCTTTTTTTGTGTATGACATGCCAAGTATATCTGATTTCTGATGTAGCACCAGAATATTTTTTTATTTCTATTGATGGAGGGACGATCACCAACTTTTGTGGTCTTTGTAAGTTTTGGTAAATGCTGGTCGAACAATTTGACCTTTGACCGCATGGTTCAAACACCATAGCTCAATGAATCACGATATTCCAACCTATTTGATCATGTTATGCAGTGGTTTGTTTTGATTAATGTTTTTTAATATTTTGATCGTCTTTATAATATGCCATCAGGTTGTAGAAGATGGTTATGAGTTCTTTGCAAGAAGACAATTGGTGACAATATTCTCAGCTCCAAACTATTGTGGGGAGTTTGATAATGCCGGTGCCATGATGAGTGTGGATGACTCATTGACATGTTCTTTTCAGATACTTAAACCCGCTGATAAGAAAGGAAAATTTGGCAGCAACATGTTGAGACCTGGAACACCACTACACAAGGTACCGGAGCATTCATTACCTTCGTTTCGAAATAAATATTATTGGTGATTTTTTAACCTAGTTGCTGTCATTACGTTCGGTTGGATGTTTTATTATCTGAAATTCTGTATGTCTGAATTATATTTATAAAAATCTATACATATTAAAAAATAATTAAAATTAACAAGATATAAATCTTAAGAAATAACACCCAACTTGGAACACTATCGTAAAAACAATATTTTATTTTTTGATAATAGTAAAAACAATATTTTATTGGACACCTATAACCGGATACGTTTCTGGGATTTTAGAAAATAGACTCGTAAATTCATCTTGTGTCTGTTAGTATCTTTTGTTTGTTTTTGTTTTTGGTAAAAGGTATCTGTATCGTGTGAAAGCATTTACAAAAGCTTTCTTGTTACTGTTTTTCTGAATGAACCATTTGAAAACATTGTGTGCTTGAACCAATAAATGATTTGTGCCCGATTGCACGGGCCAGTAGATCAAGGGTATTCTACCAAGTTTTGGCGACCGCCTGGTCCAGTACGAGAAAAATATTAAAAATGAATGGTTAGTCTTTCATTGGGCAAATGACCAAATGTTTCATATAATTGTTTGAAAAGTGGAAGCATCGATACTCAGGCTGACTGAGTTGGACGATAGGGTGCTACGCTGTAACTGCAGATTCTTGATAAGTTTGATGCTTATGATTGTCGATGGATACTGCTGGAATGTTTTCTTTTTCTTTTTATTTGTTTATCTAATCTTTATTTTTCTCGTTGCGCTCTCAGGGTAAGGGTTGATTGATCAGTTGTACTGTTGAGGCACGATACTTGTCGGAGCGCGTACACAATAATGCTTCGCTGTTTACCATATTCCCTTACTTTGTTTTTCCGCTAAGCACAGAGTTAATCTGTTTATCATTTCTCCCATTAATGGAAGAACAAGATGGATAGGTGTGTACAAGGCTGATGAGCATCATATCGTGTTATTTTTCTTTCCTTGTTGGTTTCCCGTATGTATGTTAGAATTTAATATGACACTTTATTAACACAGTAATTGGGAAAGTGCACTGTGCACCATCTTACATAAAACTGCTCCAAGCTTCTTTTTAAGTTTTAATGAAAACATGAATACTAATCGGCATCCAAAATCCTATTATATAATTCATATTGAGCTTTCCGACATCCTTCTACCACTCTGCACCTTTCATGATGGTCCCTGCTTACTTTGTCAACGAAATAACCTGTTCCTGCTGCTTTGGTTCTACAACTTGATCGTTGTCGTTCTTTGTGTGTGAAGGGTAACTAGTTATCGCAGTTATGTCTGTTAGACTGTTACTATTAATTATTCTCTATCAGCCAAAGCTGTTTTGTTTTTTCGCTGCGTTTGTCTCCGTAAAATAGACGTGAATTTTTTTCCACCTGAATATTTACTGATTATTATCTTTGCCTCTTTAGATTGTCTTTGCAAAGCTTTTTTTTTATTATAAAAATAGCAAAAATATTTTTCAGATAGTTTGTCCTAAAATATTTTCGGCCCTTTTTGCGATCAAACAAGATCGATTGAAAAAACCTTCACTCAGTCAAATTTATTAATGGATGGAGAGTTGTCTTTCATGCTCTATGTGAGGGTTTTTCTTTCACATCTATGGATGAATTTTTTCTCACTCTGCGTGAGAGTTTTTCTCTCACATTTATAGACGCTAGTTTTCATTTATTTCTCTTATTATTGGTGTTTGTTGGAGAGGTTCATTTGTCCAGACCTATGGAGAAGGTTTCTGATATATGGTTCTAATCATTCTAATGTTTGTTTATTTTTTAATATTTTTCTTATTTCTGTTGGGCCTTGGTTGAATTTGTATGTGGTGTTGTGGGATTTCATTTGTTTTCCCTTTAAACATGCAAGATGTCGAATTGGGAGAGGATTAATACTTTTTAATTGGTTTTGCTACGAATGCGTTTCCATATGATTCTCGTTGCTGGTGCCAGTGCCAATTCAAACCTGCTTTGGCTCGTTAGGCGATGCTCTAACTGTTTCGATTTCTATAATGATATGAATGAATGGTTTTTTTACACATTTTATAGTTATAACTAGAGATACAAATGAATTGAATCAGATTCTAATCATGTCGGATCAGTTCCGATTTAAAAATCCAATCAAATTTGGTAATATTCGATTTGAATTCGAATTCTATCAATAAATCAAATCTCATATATACATATTTTTAATAATTAATAAATTATTAAAAAAATAAAATATATTAATTTAAATAAAATAAAAACAAAAAACACAACTATTTTTTAATTACATGAGCATTTATGAACGGACATGCCTTTAGGCGTAAAAAAAAGGATCGATTGAAAAGAGCAAATGTTTACCCAACGGCAAGATCGATGGCCACTTCCTCATGCAATGCATTTCAGCTACGAGGGTGTTTTCTTTTCCTCAACAGTCTATAGTAATTAGGGTATCCATGCACCTGGGGGCTGATGTCCCTGGTCTGCGAGTGATGTCGAGTGACCACTGACCAAAAACCCTAGAGCCCTTGGTCAGTGAAAAAAAAAACCCTAAAACCTAAAATATATTTGTACTTGTGCTCAGGCTCTTAGAATGCTATAGAGTGCAAACCCTCAAAAATCTAAATTACAGCCCCTCATAACCCCTTTATCCCCTTGTAAATACTGTGGATTGAGTCCACTGAATCCATTAGGGGTAGATTGAACGGTTTTCTAGGGTAAGACTGAACGGTTAAAACCCTAAACCCATTTGGGCAACTTTCACTGCGTTTGTATTGAAAACGTCTCCGTTCTAATTTATGAGATTAAAAAAAAAAAAAAGGGTAGTTGCAGATTAATATCCAGTAATTTTAGGGATAATCTTACTTTAATATCCGAACTTAAACTTTAAAACGTGTCTGTAGTGTTAATGTAAAACTCACTTTGGGCTCCGTCCAATGTTATAGGAATACCTAAAGCTGTCACTTTAGGCTCCGTCATTAGCAGTCCGTATTATCTTACACGTGTGTGATTTAAAACTTTCAAAATCTTAAAGACACCAAGCAAATTGTCGACAACCTAGACTAATTGGTAAAAAAAAGGGCTATTTGTTTGACATTAACGATATTTGTCCAAATATTACCAACACACAATTAATATTATCCAAATTAAGTACAAGATACTAATTTAAAATTGACCCCTTTTAGTTATATTTATTACACTCCTGTATCTTTAAAAACATGGGTAGGGAAAGGGAAACACTGACAGATAAAAGATAATTAACAAACAAGTAGAAAGTGCACAAGTGGTGTTGTATAACTTAGAAGACGTCAGCGAGGGTAGGGAGCTTGACCTCTCCCTTGCGAGGCAGTGGCAACGTAAAGTTTCCAACGATGGGCAAGTCGACGGTGAAACCCAACTCCAATACATAATCGATGTCCCAGTCCGATCCTATGTCCCTTGCCAAACTCACCAATATGCTGTATGGCACCTTCACCGGCACATCTACCTTTGTCGTCTCGTTTGCAGTTAGCGACCCCGGATCCGGAATGGTTCCCGACGCTATCACTCTGCTTCATTCATTCATTCAGATGATAGATAATATAATTATATAGCAAAAAGCCAAAAAGGAAAATTAATTAGAAAGATACAACTTGCCTATTAGCGCTCTTGAGGGTGTAGGAGATCTCGCAGATGGGGATAGCGTGTCCATAGGGATTGGTAACAGAGACCTGAGCGTTGAAGGTGGCAGAATCACGACTGACCTTCTTAAAATCGACGTCGGTGATGTTGGCTTCCGGTTTCTTTACGTTGGCAACCTTTTCTGCTATGAAGTTCTTCGTCTTATCCACCAGCTGAGACATATCTTGCTCTATGCTCGCTGCTCAGGTTTAATTTGCAGACTCTTTGCACTGCAACTGCACTGTGAATTATATTGAATTATCAGAGTGGAGAGCAACGGATTGACTAATTACATGAGATTAATAACCGACAGCCGTAAGCGTGATAATGCTGTTGTTTATGTAGGGGTTGCAAGTTTTGACACCAATCATCCTCCATACCGTCCACTGCGACACGTGGAGACTGACGTGTTTACGTTGCATACCTTGCATTTGTTTGTTTGTATTTAGGGAAAGGGAAAACTTAAACTTGTTTGTCTCGCTCTCTCTCTGATAGAGATAGTGGGTTTTTTCTTGGTAGCTTGCAAGTTGCAACACATCTGGGCATCGAGTAGGTTCCGTTCTTGTTTTTGAAATTTTATTTTTATACGAAGTCCCGATTAAGATGGGCAGTGAGTGATGATTGCCGTCCATACTCCATATTAATATCTACCTCATCGATCGTCATCTGATGCATATCAAATGAGCCAATGTGCCGAGTATGGACTCGACTGGAGTGCCACAGACTTTGTCAGAAATAATTATTACTAAACAAGTAAACCGGACTCTTAATACTTACTAAATAGTGCTGAAAACAGGAGTTGAAAACCGAATGCTATTATGGTTTCAGATTCAAAATAAAACTACAAATTGGCAAATTGCATCATGTAACGCATGGACTGCTCTGCCCATGTGATTTGATTCATTTTTTTTTTTCTGTCTGTGTCAGAAGAGGTCCTATTCAATCCTATTCAATTGCGATTATTTCTAGCTCGGCCCGGCCCATAAATTTCTGAGGCTGGGCCTGGATTTGTGTTCAGGCTCTTCAGGGCCTTCGCATATTTCTGGGCTGGAGTGTTGGGACCAGTCCCCTGTGCGTGTAATATCATGTAAGCTTAGATGGTCTGATCTAGACCTGTTCATGGGCCGGGCCGGGTTTTTACTCTGTATTAAAAGGTTTTTTTAAGGCCCGAACCCGAGCTTGGCCCAACCATCGGGCCTACAATTTGGGCCCAAGCCCGAAATTTAGCCAATGTTACTACTACTGAAGCGGCTGAATAGAGAGAGAGTGAGAAATTATAAAGAAAAAAATAAAAAAAATGTATATATTAAATTATAAATATATATATATATATATATATTTCAATAAATATTATATTATTTATATATTTTATATAATATATAAAATACATATTATGTATTTTATAAAATATATAATGCTGAGTCGGGCCAGGCCGGGCTTTTTTGACAAATCCCGAGCCCGGCCCGTAACACAGTCAAGCTTACTGTGTTAGGCCCGAGGTCAGGCCCGCGGGCCGGGCCGGGCATGAACAGGTCTAGTCTGATCCAGGAACTCCCAAATGAGAGAGCTTTCATAGGAAAAGATGTGAATGAGCATGTAGGAAATGAGTGGGGTATGATAGGTGCATAATAGTAGGGGTGTTGGGATTTGGTCCAATCCAATCCAGTCCAAACGTGAGTCCATTATAAATGGACTAGGTCCAATCCAATCCAATGAATGTTTTGGACTAATTTGGACCGGTCCAATTCAATGTCTGGACCGTCAATCTGTTTAAATTCATTTTGATTTAGATTGGTTTCAACCCAAACCCGATCTATTGATACATATATTCTTATCTTATATCAATGGACCAGATATTGGCTTAATCCAACTTAATACAATATACATTTGTTATGGACGGACCAAGTCCAATCCAATCTAATAAATATTTTGGACCGATTGGTCCAATCTAATGTCTTGTTGATCCATCCAATCCATCCAAATTGATTTTGGACCAACCAAAACCAGTCCATTGACACCCTTACATAATAGGGGGTTTGGATTTGGAGAGAGAGAGAGAAAGAGTACTGCATGGTGGTTGGTTGACCATCTTTGTGGACGTTTAAAATCTGACTGGTATTATAATGCCTTTATTATTTCTTCCCTCAACAGAAGGAAAATCCTTGACTCCCGCATTCAACTCAACCCAACCCACCCATTTGCAACTCCTATTACCCATTAACTCTCATTAATTATGCACTTATTCACCTTTTATGCCCCCATTAATTATAAGTTTGGTTATTTTATTATTGGGTGGAAAGTTTTAGTTGATTATAAGAACATCCACCTGTAACTCCACGTAGACCAGACCCTATGGAAGAGCCTGCTAAATCGAAGGTAAATGGATTGAAGCTCTCCTCTTACAATGGGCACCATTACAAGAAACAAACAGAAAAATGTGACCCGTCGTTGAATCGAAAACAGACAATTAGACAAACATTTAAAATGCATTAGTTTCAACATTGAAATGAGACAAACATTTAAACTTCAGTAGTGTACATCATAGTGTTGTAGAAATCTAGAGTTGCAGCTGTAAAACACTACTCTCTGTTAGTTAAACCTTTTGCGTTCTCTGAAAATGGTGGAGATGAAGGAGAGAGATAAGTGGATAATATCCAAATCCTAACCTAATGGATACCGTCAAGGGTCAACCCAACCCATCCTAACCCTACTTATGCCACCCAAATAGATACCGTCAAGACATCGATGCTTATATTGCAAGCAAAGAAAAAAAAAAGGAACGATTTAACTCGCCAATACACCAGATACAGGCATTAATATCCTTCCTAGGCTTATCTGGTTCATATCTTGAATTCTGAAAATGATTCCATATACAAGTATACTATCACACCTTTGAATTGTGGATATGGCATATTGCGTGTATCATCAATACTTTGAACCCATGCCACGTATCGATCCTTTTGAAACAGATGACACATCCTATGGACATATGGTTTTGATACTTGTCGAAACATATTTATCGCACTTCAGTTTAAATCGAAAAAACATAGGAAGTCACATAGGCAGTCGAGATGAAATAATTCAATATAGAGCTATTAATGACTGCTCGACAAAGAAAGAGATCTGATTCGAAATCGCCCAAGCATTGACTCTTCATTAGTTTGCTGAAAATTATGGATGAGTAGGAGGTGATACAGTTCCATAAACTTACAGATCAAATGAGTGATGAGATATAAATATAGAATGTCCAAAAGGCTCTTTAAACAAAACAGAAAACATAAAGAAAGTGTCAAAGGGGCTAAGGCCTATGATGTACATTTCAATTTTCAAAATATGCCGACTGAAACTTTGCTTCCAAAATTCCCGAGATCTTGGCCTAAACATGGCTGCAGCATTCAATTTAATGTTTTTGTGGTGCTTACCTAAAGACAAACAGGGAAAGACTATATTCTGCCGCAAACTCCTGCGGATTTCAGATGAACAAAACCAGACTGCATCCTCTTCACAACCCCAAGAAGAAAATATAAAAGGGCAAAGGAGCTCTAGAGACTTTAAGAAAACAGAATCGAAGGCTTGGAATTTGCCAGCTACTGAATTTCAATTCAATCATTTCTTCCATTACGTCACCTAACCCTCAAACAAAGTCGGGACTCAGGACGGGAGACGATTCATGGACAAGAGTGACAACCAACTTGAAAAGTTCCAAGACTCATGTCTATGAACAATTTAAGATTCTACATTTTTTTTGAAAGAAAATGTTAAGTACTACATGGGATTGCTAAATCATGACCAACATCAATCCATATTGTACTGTTCAAAAAACTGAAACAGTGACCATGGCAAAGCAGTCAAAGCAATAGCACCAAAAGAATGACCTTGAGAAACGAAAATACCACCCAAGAAAAATCACAAAAGTAGAATTACAGTATTAGCAAATCAGAGCACACACTACAATTCCCATTTCCTCAGCTCCATACCATCTGGAGGGGTGCTCTCTACTTTCTTAGAACCCACTTCTTTCCAGTTTGTAGATAGCACGGTCCCATTTGATTCCACCTGCAAAACACCATACCGAAGAAAGAATTAATAGTGGTGCAATTCATATAATTACCAGTTTGAGCACCCATAATCACAACAAATGATAAAATGACAGTTTACGAGAGGTATATGCTAGAACTGGAGCTACTGTCCCCCCGGTTATAATCAGAAAAAACAAGATGAACATTCCGGTAGAAGTTTTGATGTTCCAGAGAGCAGAAAGTAATTTTTCTGTTCTCGGTTCACCAAGGGCATTCCACTGGAATGTCAACGAACGCCAAAGTAGGATCCATGGATGCTGGGATATAGCTTTGTACTAGTAAAATCCTCGTTTTCAAATCCACCAGGGACTACCAAAAGAAGATATAACAAAGCAAAAAAAAAAAAAAAATGGATGCTATGCACTAATAATTGCATATTCTAGTAGTCTCTAATGAAGCAGAAAGCCTTACAAAAGATTTTTTCATGGCCCTCCTTGTGTCCTCGTCAGCATCTTGGTATATGTCCCTGAATAGTTTGTTCAAAGCTGCATCTCCATCAAGCTTTTCCTCTTTTTCCTAATAGTCAAAACACGTTAAAATAACATCTCAAATTAGTCTACTGTTCAAGATTCAATTGCAAACCCATCACTCCTGGGAAATAGACTAAAAGATCATCAAAACATCTCAACATAGAAATAACATGACTGCTAACAAACCTCCTTCTTCACTTGGGCTTCCAACTTATCCCAGTCAACAGCTCTTGATTTTGATGATGGGTATGTAGGTCTTGCCATACCTACAAATTTAAAACAGAAATGGAACTTACAATCCAAATAGATAATACAGACTCATATGAAAGATGAATTGTATTTTCTATAAATGCAGTTAAAACTGTCACATCTCAGCAATAAGGTTATGTTTGATTCTTAAATTTATAAAGTAATGATAGCTCATCCATGTTCTATATCTTCGAAAATTGAAAAGAAAAATGGCAGGGAGAAACAAGCAGATCCATTCATTTCCAATAAAATGGCAAACATTAAAGTGCAAAAACGAAAACGTAGATAAGCCTCCACAATACCGCCATCATCACACTAATCACTATCACATATAAAAGTCACAGGGTCTACCTGATGACACATTGATCTTTTGTGGAACTTTATTTTCCCTAGTAAACTCCAACGATGCCCAGTTTATTGTCTCAGCTTTTGCAAGACGGATTTCAACTTTTGCAGACATAACTACATATCTGCACTTCTCGGGTAATATCTGTTTATTCCAGACAACAAAACACCAAAACACAATAATTCAGCAATGAAACTACAACCAAGATAAACTAGAGTACAATAAGTTAGCACTTAGCAGGTAGTGTTGACAAGATGAGATTAAAGAAAGTTGACAATAAAAATTACACATTACACGATACACTCCAATTTGGGATTGATAGGATATGACACTGAAGATGGGATATAATAGTAATGATGGCTTTGAATATAACTAAGCCAATACTACTACAGGTCATTTGAAGACAATGAGCTAGAAATGTCAGAGAATAAAGTAGAGAAAACCATGACTTGTAGGTAATTTCAATTTAAGAGTTATATTCAAGTGTCCATCAGCATTTGAGAACATAAGAATTGGAGAAAGAATTATACTAAAAAAAGACCCAAAAGAATTACCTTTCCAAATAAGCGGGGTTGAAAATGAAATGGATCTTCCCTAGGGATAGAAATGGTAACACTCAACTGCATGAGAACAGAACAAATTTTCAGCCACAATTTTTTTTCTTAATAGATTAGGGGCCAAGCTTTGAAATAAACAAGTGCAGAAAAGAAACAAAATAGCAGTAGAGCAAGGCAAGCAGTGACAGAGAAACATACTATCTGTTCACCAAACTCAACAGCCACGTTTTCAGCTGGTATGCCCTTTGCAAATATGGTCACAACTACTTCGTCCGGCTTCTGGTAGTATTCATGCCTGTACAACCTTTTGCTTTTAGATAAACCAAATAGCTGAAACACTAATATAAGTAATATAGCCAACATTCAATTCTCTCTTTTAAGATAAAGGGTAATGTGCTTCATGGCGGTGGCTTGGTGCTAATACACCACGGCCATTAAAATATAATGGCTAAAACAAACCAATATCAGCAACTAAATAACCATGCAAGACATCATATACTTCTAAGTCTGTCTTGGGAGGGGTATAGACTGGAAACGGTCCTAATCTTTGGCATGAAATACATATATATGCTACAGATAAAGAAAGTAAGCATGAAATCTGAAAAATACCTGTATTTTGGTTTAACCAATGGCATCACTGCTGGTTCATGGGAATTATCTTGCATTGGCACATCTTTTGCTGTTCCCAGAGATGCATCAGGAGATAAAGAACTTTGTGCTGGTTGTTTTGGTAGAAGACCAGTTTCCTCTGAAAAAAGTGTATAAAACATTCATCATGATAGGAGAAATAACACTCACAAACATGTCAGCATGAAAGTTTTTAACAAAGAATTCATTTTTCCTTAAATACTTCAGTTTCCCTTAATGATTTCCTACCATGAAGTAGAAACCAAAACATACAAGGATTCTAATGGAGAAGAGTAAAGATGTTCAGGATTCCTTCTTTTTTTTTTGTGAAAAGACTAAGTAAAGTTGTATTAATAAAAGATATAAAGATGTACAAGTATACCAGGCACACTGTACAAAAAGATTCTGTAACGTGAACACTCTAAGGACCCCCAAAATTTCAACCGCCAATAAAAAGAAGACATAAAGGTGTAGGACTTCTTTGATCAAAATTTTTCTTACCATGCAACAGTAAAAGATGTTTTATTACTGAAAAGGGAAATATGCATCCTATCCAGAATTTTTGATAGCCAGATAAAACAGAAAATGCGCTGATCACCCCTTTTTAGAAACTAAGATTTTATAACTTAGTTTTAAGTGTCCAAGCCCCGTCTTTAACCAGTTTATGACTACAGAAAATCTATATTGTCTGGATCCAGCAATAACAAGGCTGAGTATGGTATTGTATACAAAGTTTACACTAAAAGTTGGAAGTACCCAACAGATATCTTGGTATCATCGCTGACAATCCCCTTCAACAAGTAGATCCATGCATTCAGTTGATAAAACATTTTCTTTTAGGCTTTGTTTGGTAAAAGTACAAATGCAGAACCAGAGAACTTGCACTCCAGTTCAGTTTTGCACTCAAAGTTGGTCAATGTAAACAGCCTTGAGATTCGTATTTGGACCCATTACAACCAAACAAAACACTGTAAATTTATGAGTGCAAAACTGAACTGGGTTTGCATCCTTCTATTTGAACAAATTTGCATTCACACCAGTGCATTCACTTTTTGCACTCTTTACCAAATGCAGCCTTAAGGAGTTTTAAGACCAGAAAGCCTGAAAAGCTTGATAGGATGTTTTCCTTGCTAACTCTAAGACTAACAACTCCCCTGATGCCTGAATCTTTAGAGCTGCCTAAAGTGCACTGTCAAAGTTCAACCATTTTCTGCCTACCTCTGATCTTCTTGATCCTATATTTCTTTGCTGTCTCCTATTGGAAAAGCTTGCTACAAGTCTGCCACCCTCTCAAAAGGTCATCAGTAGTGATCCCTTTGAATTCACAACAGGTCAAGACCCAAATAATGATTCGTGCCATAACGAGTATGTTTTGCTCCTTGCTGTCAACAATTGAGAGTTTTTGGACTATGTGCTTGAGAGAATGAATTCCAGGGTTAGGTGGAGAAATTGGGTCAAAGGTGTGCATTCCTGCTCCTTATTGCATTCTTTTAATGGCACTCCTTATGGAAGATTGAAGAGCTCTAACAGAATCCATCAAGCTGACCATTCTCACCTTTTCTTTTTTTCTTTTTTCTTTTTTTTTTTTGGTATGGCTGAAGTTTTGAGTAAGCTTACAGAGAAGAAGGGGGTTTATAAGGGTTTCCAATTCCAGGTAGAGATGGGAGAAGAGGATATTGCTCTCTTGCAGTTTGCAGATATACTGCTTTTGTGTGATACTTCCAGTAAACAATAGGGGTTATCTTAGCTTTACCCTTTGGTGGTTTGAGGTGATTCCAGGGCTGAGAATTAACTTGCAAAGGAGTGAGGTTTTGGCTGTGGAAAATGTGCCTGAGATAGGTACCCTGGGTGAGATTCTTGGTTTTGGAATTGGGAAGCTGTTTCCCAAATATTTGAGACTTCCTCTAGGCTAGATGCCCATCCAACAGTTTATGGAACCCTATAATTCTCCCCAAGGACAGAATTATTAGCCTTAATGCAAGCCCTTAAACTGATATTGCAGCAAGGATTAAGAAATATAGTAGTTAAGAGGGATTGTCAAACAATCATATCATGGATGAAACCTCAGGACTGGATTCCTTGGCAGTTCAGGCATGTGGCGAGATTGGCTCACTTCTTAGGTACCAGTTTGAACATCTCATTCATCTGAGTGCCTAGGAGTGCTAATATGCCAACTGACTCATTGGCAAGAAATGGGAATGGAAAGAACACTGCAAGCCCAAGCCGGGCTTGTGAGCTTTCCGGGCCTAACGAGTAATGACTTTAGGCCCATGACATCAAATAATAAAATTTAATTATTTACAATTTTAAATTAAATAATATGTAAATGTAATACATACAAAAAAATTACACAAGCCAAAGTTAAATTGGGCCTGGCTAGGCTTTAGGCCTATGGCACAAAAAACAAGGCATGAGCATCATTTAATTGTTAGACTTGATTTGGCTTGGATTACCTATTCTTTATAGATGAAGGCAAGGCCTTCATTCCCATTCTTGAGCAATGTAGGATTTGGAACAATACAAAATAATTAATGCAACCATTATTGTTTTTCCAAGTCCCACATTGCTTTGGGGATGAGAGTAAATGCTTTGCCTTCATCTATATAAGGCCTTGCTTAGGACAATTCTCATACTTGAATTGGCTCAGGTGTTGACACATTTCAACTTTCAATTCATAAATACTTATTTATATGTTAAAAAACTTACAACTTTTATATTTAATATAAAATAATAGACATGTAAGAGCTTTCTATTTTATTTTTTCGTTGTCCTCTGTGGAGAAACTGTTGTATTTGCAGGCCAGCTGCTTTTGTTATGAACAGTGTGGCATTATTTTTTAATGAAAGAATTCCTGTTGCTTATAAAAAAATGATTGAAAGGCTACAACTTACCAGAAATTGACCTCATGGGAGTCTAGTATTTGACCACAGAGGGTAAGTTGAAACTTTGGGCTTGCCTTGAGGGGTGTGGCACGGGGTCCATGGGCTCCTGCCTAGGGGTGGCAATTTTTCACCCAACCTGCTGAACACACCCAACCCGGCCATTTACTTGGCGGGTTGGAAATGGGTTGATCATCCTTTGGGTCAATTTAAATGGGTTAGGTTGTGGATAACCATTGGGTTAACCACTACAGATATAAATATACATTTCTTAGACATTTTTTTAAGTTTTCTTCATTTGAATAAAATAATTTATAATTAGTGCATTAATTTTCTATTAATTATTGACTAAAATTAGTTTTGTCTCGAATCAACCCACTTCACCCAAATCAACTTGACTTGAGTCCGGACCAGCTCAACTTGGTCTAAATATGAACAAACCCGATCACCTCGGTTTGGTTCGTTTTGGTCGGTCAACCCAACCGACCCAAGACAGACCGATTCGTATCAACCCAAATCCGGAACGAATACGGGTGAGATGAATCTGTCTTGCTTGCTTTGTCCTATTTGGATTGTACAGTCTGTATCCGCACAACTCGACCAGAATCCGAACTGATCCAATTTACTTCTCTTGACCCGCTTCGGGTCATTTGGTTCGGTCCCAAACCCATGCACAAACCTAATATGGGCCGGTCCAAGTCAATCCGCCATTGATTGAACCGGTCTGGTCTGGTCCGACTGGACTGATCCAGATCTAAATAGTTCAACCACCCTTGATGTGATTAGCTCGAAGACAATCCAATTGGATAGTTCAAGTTGGTATGACTGGTTTGAACCTAAGTGGTTCGATCAAACCCGAAACTTGAACATAGTCAAATGGCTTCGCTGCTTGTGTAAAAATAACATGCATGTAATGTGATTTGAACCTTCACCACTTGTGTAAATAGCAACTACTATTACAATCAAGCTATGACCAACTTATTTGTCAAGAGAGTTTTATTGTTTTAAGTACATAAATATAAGATTAACGGGTTTGGGCGGGTTGGATTGGGTTAAAGCGAGTTTGGGTTGAACCCAACCCATTTAATTTTATATAACTGGGTCATTAATGGGTTGGCGGGTTAGATGGGTTGGGTTGAAGCTCAACCAAACCAAACCAAACCCAACCTGCCCAATTGCCACCACTACTCCTGCCCTCGGACCAGCCACTAGACACAAAAAAAGTGCCAAAGTTTCAAAAGGCGCATGCCTAGGTTGAGGCGCAAGGCGCACCAGGCACACACCTAGGCACACTAGGCGTGCGCCTTTTGAAAGGGCTGCGCCAAGGACCTGGGTAAGGCGCCTTGCCTATGCGCCTAGGCGTGCTTGAGGCGCACCTTTTAAATCACTACTTCGAGAACCCCCTATTTGGTAATGTTGTTCATTCATTCATCCTAATAAAATGTCTTCTTAAAAAGCAATAAAAACTATAAAATCATTATTTTTTGTGTGGGAACTAAGAATTTAAGACCTAAGGTGGACTTGTTTGGGCTTGCCTCGAGGGGCGTGGTACAAAGGTGGCTCCTAGAATCAGGAATGTAATATGTTTTACATCACATTAGCTACTTGAAGTAATCAAATTGAGAAGAAAAGAGCTTATGGGTTTTATATGCTTGAAAATGTTTTATATATTTGATTTTATTTTTAAATTCTCATTTGAATATGCTTTACATGTAATATTTATGTATTTTAATATTAGACAATAGGCTTTTTATAACATTCATTTTAAAATTAAAGTTTATATTTCTATTAATATTTATGTTTAATAATTTTTTGATTTTTTGAATTTTTTGGCATTTTTATTTTTTTAATTTTTTTTTACTTTTAGCCTTTTTTTTTTAATTTTTTGCGCCTTGCACCTCAGGTGCAAATTGACCCCTGCGCATGTTTTGCGCTATGCGCTTTTAAAACACTGATCAAGAGTGTGCTAGCCTCCCCAATCTATTATTTGTCGTTCTTTCCCTTCCTACATGTGTGACCATTCAACTAGAGGAAGATAGGAGACTTTTTATGGAGGGGTTAGAGAGAAGATTTTAAATTTCATATTTTCAATGGGTTAAGTTAAACGGTAAACTTAGCTTGGCCAAGATTGAGTTTGGGAAGCTATTTATGGGTATAGGATTGATTTAGGGTCTTGGTGTCTCAACCTGAGTCGAGTTCGGGTCGGTCGGTATTGGGTTTCATTGGTCCAACCTGTCAAGTC